ACCCTTCTTTGCTTTCTTCCCATTTTGTCTCTGATCACAGCCACATCCATATGCGATCCATGCCACTCAGCTCCAGCATCATGTTTTAGTTAAGCATGCCCATATCTGCTCTTGCTCTGGTTGCTTATTTTTATGTGCCTCGTTAAAGCAGCTCTTCTCTGCTTCCCACACGAACATTGTCACCTCCTGTCCTCGCCTCTAGTGAAGACTCAGGGGCTTTATGATTTCAGCCCAGAGATGAATCATCTTGTCCACAGCTCCACTGCTTGAAAACTGCCTCAAGCACCTCTTCCCTTGCCTCTGCCATATACACACCTATGTGGCCAGCTCTTGGTGCCTCTAAGGATGGAGACCATGCAAGGGACTGCCCTGATCCTGATGGCTGACAGGGAAGATGTGGGTTTTACTTCGGCATTGGCTTCCCCTCTCTTGCATCACTCTATCAACTAAGCTGGAAGGACCCAGAAGGATCACCGAGCACGACCCCACTCGGCACTCCCCACCCCCAATGGGCGTCTGCCCCAAAGCAGCGTCTGATCCGACATCGGGGCTGCGCCCACTGCCCTTGCCAGCCTTTGCCGTGCCCACCGCGCTCCGGGGCACAGCCTTTCCCTAACAGGTCATGGCCGGTCTTCCAGAACGACGCCTATTTACAACGAGCGCTGCCAAGGCGAAGTGGAAATGTACTAGAAGCCTTCCCCAGAGAGCGAGGACATCCGTCAATCACAACCGAGCTGGGTCTCAGCCCAGGCGCTGGCACGGAGCTGACCCCGGGACGAGCGCAGCCGCCTGTCGCCTCGCTCCGCTGCCATGCCGTGCCGCCGAGGCGGGGGCCGCCGCAGTCCCCGCCCGCCCGGCCGGGAGGGGCCAAACGTCGCCGCCGCCGCCGCCGCAGAGACGCCGCCGGGCGATGCCGCTCCGGGCCCGGGGCCGTCAGCGGGGCTCCTCCGCCGCCTCCGCCGCCCAGCCCCGGGGAGCCTCCCGAGGTGAGCGCGGCCCCGTCGGGGAGCTCCGGGCCGCAGTTCCGCGGCTCCGTGCCGAGCGCTCCCTTCCCCGGCACGCGGACACCGCGCCGCGGGTCCCCGGGCGATGCTGCGAGCGGACAGCGAGAGACGGTCGCGGAGCCCCGCCGCCTCGCCCCGGCCGTCCCTGCGGCCCGCCTCGCGGCCCGGCTCGGAGCAGCTGCCCTCCTCGTCGCCTCTCTCCTGCTGCCGCCCGTCCGTCCGCACGGCCGAAGGCTCGGGACATGCGGGATTCGGGGCGTTCTCGTGCCCGGGCACCCCCAGGTAACGCCGGCTGGCGCGGCGCGTGGTGTCGGTGCGACGCGGTTCCCGGCCCGCGGCGGGCAGAGAGAGCCCCTGCGCGGCCCCAGCGTCGGGGAGCCGGCTTGGCCTCTGTCTCAGCCGGGGGACTGGCTCCCCTCCAGAGCAGCTGCCGAGCCGTGCCAGGCTGGGCCCCAGCTCCCTCCGGCTCTGGCAGCGGCTGCCCGCAGCTGTGCTGGGCCGGGAGGGAGCCTGACAGCACCCGTGCCATCTGAGGTGGAGGGCTGCCCGTGGGGTTTTGCTCTGAGCCCATGTAGGAAAGCCGAGCGTCAAGCTGAAATCCAGGGCCTCTTGCAGAGCTCTTGCATCCCAGAGCTTTCTTTGCTCTGTTGTATCCTGACAGGGAACATTAAGCAAAGCTCTTGTGGATCACAAGGCTGAAAGAAACTGAGGATGGTAGGCAGATCTCTTCCCTCCTACCCTGCAGGACGGCCATACTGAAAATCATCTTTCTCCTACTGCTATGCATGAAAATAAAGGAGATGAAAAAGATAGAGGGCCTGGCTTGCTATATTGTGGAACTGCTTGGGATAAAAGCATAGACATGGCCTTGTGTGCTTTGCAGGAAAGAACATAACCAGTGCCACTGGCTGGGAATGGCCATGGAAGTAAGGCACGTGCCCTTCATGATGGCAGCAATTAGCTAATGCAGTGAGCTTCTGGAAGAGGCTGTAGCATCCCAAGTATTCAAAGGCCATCCAGCCTACCCCTACATGCAGCCTAGGAGCAGAGGTTCCTGCGCTGCAGGAGGAAGCAGCTTGTTTGCTCGGAGTCAGGCTCTCGCACCTTTCCCTAGCAGGATGTTCTGTAGGGTTCTGGCCAGGCTCTGTCCCATCAGATAAGCTAGGAGAAGAGTCTGTAACCACATGCCACCCCTTCCTTTGGCCATCTGTGGTGAGGGGATAGAATAAGAGTAGGGATGGGGAAGCCCAGCAACTCCCTGATGGTCCTACCTGTTCCTCTGTGCAGAATGGTTCCCCCACCACCCGTCAGCAAGCCTCACGTGTGCCTCTCAACTGTACTCATCATGAGCAGCCTCATCCTCATGGATGCCTACCTGGTGGAGCAGAGCCAGGGCTCCAGGAAGCTGGGCATCTGCGTCATGGTGGCAGTGGGCGACGTGTGCTTCTTGCTGGTGCTCCGCTACGTGGCCATCTGGGTTGGGGCAGAGGTAAAGACAGCCAAGCGAGGTTATGCCATGATCCTCTGGTTCCTCTATGTCTTCGTTCTGGAGATCAAGGTTTACTTTGTCTACCAGAACTATAAAGCTGATCGGAAGAGCCTAGATCTCATGGCTCGCAAAGCGCTCACCTTGCTGCTCTCCATCTGCATCCCAGCCCTCTACGTGCTGCTGGTGGCCACAGAGCACATGGAGTACGTCAGGACATTCAAGAAGAAAGAAGATCTTCGCAACCGCCTCTTCTGGGTCATCGTGGACATGCTGGATGTGCTGGACATTCAGGCCAACCTGTGGGAGCCCCAGAAGAAGGGGCTGCCACTCTGGGCCGAGGGCATCATGTTCTTCTACTGCTACATCTTGCTCCTGGTCCTCCCTTGCGTCTCCCTGTGCGAGATCAGCATGCAGGGGATCGGCATTATGCCGCACCGCATGATGCTGTACCCGATGCTGAGCATGCTCACCGTCAACATCACCACCATCTTCATCCGAGGCAGCAACATGCTCTTCTTCAGGGACTCCCGGGTCTCCAGCATTTTCATGGGCAAGAATATGCTGGCCATCGGGCTGAAGGTCTGCATGTTTGTGCAGTACCAGCGGCACAGGCACCACGCGCCTCCAGGGCCAGGTCCTGCCCCGCAGCATAGCTGCCAGCCCCAGCCCTCCCCAGGGCTGCAGAAGTCTCGGGATCAGCCTGCCTGCCCTGAGGAGCTGGCCCAGGACAATACATGATACGCCAGTGGCAACCACAGCCTGGGCACCACCACGCTTGGCCATCCCCACAAGACACCAGGAGGGTCGCTGAGCCTCCTGCCTCTGGACAGCAGGGACCGACCCTGTCTCCTCCCTCCTCAGACAAGGCTGCTCCATTCCCCAGGGGCAACACTGCAATGGGGCAGCCAAGCAGTGCAGGACCACAGCCCTCCAGCTCAAGCCAGGGGCTGAGCAGAGATGTCACATGCTCCACCTCAGCGTCTTGCCCCAGCCAGGTGCCCCTCCTGGTGGGAGTGAGGATCTGACTCCCCCCCACCTCTTGTCCCTCTCAGACAGCCGCAGGCTCGGTGGGGGCTCGAAGAGCTGACCTTTTTCGTATCTCCCTCTTTGCAATAAAAGGCCTGAGCTCTCCTTGTGTCTGTGTTCCCTGATGCCCAGCTGCAGAGCACTTCTTTGGGGGGGAAAGATTGGGTGGCCACCCACACCCTAAGAGCATCCCATGTCACCACTGATGCCTAGTACTGTTGCTGCCTGTCCCTGCAGCAACTGATGCCAGCCATGCCCATAGCTGCTCTCCTTGAAGAAGTCCACATAGGTCCCCCACAGCCTGCCTGTGGAGCACTAGACCTAAGCTGACAGCCTGACAGGACAGCATTAGAAACACAAGCCAAATAACCTAATGCAGTCCCCTGAGGCCATGGGAAAAAGAAGCTTCACTGACTGTAGACACAGAGGCATCCCTCACCAGCCAGTGCTGTCACACTGCAGCCTGCCCCAAGGCTCACCCCAGTGCTGGCTGTGCTTAGGCCATGCCCTACGGTAGGTTTCTCCTTGGATGGGAGAAAGCCAGGAGCAGACAAGAAGAGACAGGTCAGCAGCCTTGCTCTTCACCTTCCATGTGCTGGACAATTAGTTTGTGCCCCAGCTCAGAAGTCTTCCATTCTGGCACTGCACTAGGATTGCTCCTTGCTGGGCAGGATCTACCAGCAACAGAAGATGGGGACGCACAGACCTGGTAATGCCACACAGACCCTTGGCAAGGCCTTGGCAGCAGTGGCTCCCATGTGAGCCCAGGACTAAGCCTTCTTACTATATTGTCCCCCTGCACCTTTACAAGAGGAGACTTGTTCAGTTTTGGATTAAAAACAGTGTAAAACAGCAAGCTGCAGCACAAAGGGGCCATGATAGCCTTGAGATTTGCACTGCCACACTGCTTCCAAGTTAGTTCTCCTCTGAAGGCATAAGAATACAGCAGGCTCTGCTTCCCAAGTCAAGGTCAGGAGAGGAAGGTCAGGCTGGGCACAAAGCAGCGAGCCACATGCAGGGTAAAGGCAGCTGAGGATTTCCATGTCCCTAACCAAGCTGCCATCCTGTTTCTGCTGCCTTTGCCCAGCCACACTAAAATTTGTTACCAGCGCAGAGCTCTCATCACCCACAGGAATTGCAGCAGAGGCAGATGCTTCAGTAACACCCTCAGCCAGGCATGACAGAGTTGCTCATCTTCCATTTTCTCTTCTTCACAAAACCTTTTCCCAGGCCTCACACACCAGCTGCCACCTGCAGCAGTGGAGCAATGTGCAGGCTTGGCAGGAGTGATCTGCCTTGCTGACCAGAGTCTGGTTCATAGCACCTGCATCACATCAACATCACTTCTGCATTAGCATAGCCACTGAAATTGAGCCATTAGCAGCAAGGAGAAATAACAGAGTTGGTGGTCAGCTGTAATGCCAGAGAGAAGCACATCCTCTAAGTTCAAACTGCAGCAAACACCTTTGTAACAGCAGTGATAGTGGCAGTAAAGGAAAACATGTATTTATTTTATACAGAATCAATGTTACGTAGAAATGCTAACAGCCCTTTAAGAGAACAGGCCGAGACAGGGGCAGCCCTGCTGGAGAGATCCTGGGCAGCAGTGCCTGACTACAGTCAGCTGCACGCCCTGGCACCAAGGTGCAGCCCCAGAGAGGGATGCTGATCTCTCTTGCTTTGTCAGCTCTGGGCAGACTACATTTGGACGCTCCACCCAGCTAGGCCCTGACGTTGGATCTCTGGGCTCACTCCAGTCAAGAGCACGAAAGCTGCCGGGGTCTGGAGAACCGTGCTGGGAGGTGAGGGCTTTTACTCAGTCGTGGGAAGTAAAGGCTTCAACGAGATCTAGGAGCTCCTCTTCCTGCTCACCTCTCAGACCTACTACAAGGTTTTTAACAAGACTCAGGCGGGCACTTCATTGAGAACAAGACAGCAATCACAGACTAAAACTAGGCAAAATTCCTGGAGGAAAAAGGAGTTTCACCTTGAGAACTTGAAGCAGTGGAACAGGGGTACAGAATGGTAGCACCCTTTATCCCTGTACATCTGCAAACCCATATGAAGCAAGCTTCCAGCATCCTGGTCTGAACGCAGTGCTGGCCCTGCTCTGAGCAGACCGGATCATTACCCTCCCACCTGATGCCCTTTTCATTGGGACCCAGTAAGACATGGAGAAGAGCCAGTAGTGCAGGGCACAGTCTGAGCTCTCCTAGCTACAGGCAGAGCAGGTGCAGAAACTGATCAGCACCATATGCATCTGCATGACAGGCTTGTCACCACCCAGGTATGATGTAAAACACAAGTGCAGGGGTCTCTTCAGCTATCGAAAGCACATTTTTTTCCTGTTCAGACTTCGCTGCCTAACAGCATCACTACAGCAGAAGGCAGAAAATGAGAAGAGAGGCTGCCATCTTCCAGGCCTGGCCAGAGTGAATCCCAGTGCCAGCACCACCTCTCCAGGTAACAGCATGTCTGTGCAGCAGTCACAGGTTCTTCTGTGTGGGCAAACGGCGCTTATCTTTGACAGCATTCCTCTTTCTTTTCTTGTTCAGGAAGCTCTCCAGCTTTCCACTCCTCTTTAGCTCTGCATACTTCTCTGCTAGCTCCAATTTCCGTTTCTCAGCTGTGAAGGAGAGAGGAGCAAGGTTTTAGATGCAAGCTGAGTTATCTCTACACACCTTCTTGCTTCCTCCTGCTGAGCACCAGGCCTGGCTTATCACTTGAGTGCCAGCACCACAGTCCCTCCACAGCTCCAAGCTTATGGACAGCTCATCTCCAGAGCTTGCACTGCTGTCAGCAGTACCCTCCTCCAGGTCTTCCTGCAATATGTTCACACCGTGTACTTACACTTCTTTAGGAAGAAGGGTTTCTTTCCCTGCTTGGCCAGCTCCCGTTGCTGTCTTTTCAAAGTCAGCTCCCTTTCCCTCTGTTTTTGCTGTTTTTTCTGTGCCTGTTCTTGCTGTGTCTGTACAGAATGGATGGCCCACGTCAGCGAGTGTCTAGGCAGACCTCAGGTCACACATCCTCTCTATCAGTGCACTGCCTAACAGAGGGGATGCTGCACCAAACTCACCATGCGGTTCAGGAGCTGCTGCAGTTTCTCCTTCTGTTCCATATTCCGGCATTTTTTCAGCTGCTTCTGAACCATCTGGAAAAGAGAGCAGAAAGCTGCGTCACTGCCTGCCTGCCAGCTCCATTGCAAAAGGCTTCTGCGGGGGCCACCCCTGCCAAGCAAGTTTCTTCTGGCCAAGGACAGGCACAAGGCATTACTTCCTTCTCCTGCTTCTTGATGGTGTCCAGGAAGCCGTACGTCTTCATAAATATTTCAGGGTTATACTCTCCAGACAGGTCATCAAATCGAGGGTCTCTGTGGACCTGAATGCAGAGGCAAGAGTCAGAGCCAGATTACTCTATTAATATCCTGCTTATTCTCAAAGGGCCAAGTTAAGGTCAAAGCAGCAGCCTCCCCTGCATCCCATCTTCTGCTCTTCCCAGAGACATGCTACCATCACCCGTGTTCAGCAGGCTGCTAGCTAAGACCTATCCTCCACAAACAGCCTTTGCCTCCTTCCGCAGCACCATCACCACATCTGTGCCCCTCAGCATCACTAAACACAGTCAGTACCTGAAGTGGGGAGAAAGAGCACCCACCTTCTTTGTAACAGGGACAACTTGTCGCAGAAAAGGCATGGGTTTCTTGGCAGACATCTCCACTGGCCTGAAAGAGGGAAAAAACATACTTGTAAGAAGCAGAGGGCAGAAAGAGACCCAGACTAACATCTCAGAAGGTCAGAGAGACCCTCTAGAGAACACAGTGACAAAACACCAGACTTCATGGAGACTGCAGGTATCAAAAGCCAGTACAACCAACAACAGTTGGCCACTACAACCAACTCACCCATAAATGTGTAACTGAATTAATCCTACAGAAAACATCTGCGTGCTTTAATCTAGCTCCAAAGAATCAAAACCTCACTGTACCAAATGAAAACCTACCACTGTACAGTGGTTATCAGTGAATAATTATTCCTATTTCCATGTTTTCACACGTCACATAATGATCCTCTTCTACTCCTTACCCAGCTCATGCACTCTTGAGTGACACACTGAAAGGTGAGACCAAAGTTAGGACTTTCTCACTGACCTGGTTAGTCACAAGAGCAGGCCAGTTCTAGTATGATCAAGATCAGTGAGAAAGCGTACCAAACTCAGGTAAAGGAGAAATCAGACCCCACAGGAATAAGGGTCATGCAGCTTATGGTACTTATTCCAAAGGACACTTCACGCTGAATCAGGACAGGTGGTGTAAAGGAATTAAGGGAATGAGTCCTTCCTGCAACACAAGCTTTGAGAGCATGATGCTTCAGGTGTAAAAGCAAGATGATGTAAGGTGACAGGACAGAGCATGACTATCCCCATCCTGAATGCTGCATCCTGTGATTTATCACTACACCAGGTAAGTTATCAGAAACAAAGATGTGCAAATCACCGAGTCCTGGCATTACACCCACACTCAGCAATACAGCAGCACTGGGGTGAGGAGCATAAACAACCATGCAGCAATAAGTAAGTTTTCCAAATCCCACTTAAAGCAACGTCCAGCTTGTTTTCACATCTTCTCATGAGGCTGCACCCCTGTGCAATGCTCGAGTCAGCTTCACAAACCACTACTGAAAACAGCTGAGCTCCCAGGGATTTCCCTTAAGTGCTTTTTTAAGAAGTTAAATTCCATAATAAAAACCATGAAAGAAACAGCATCTGGGATTTACAGTGGTGCAGTGCTGAAAGGATTAAGGAAATTAAGTAATAAAAGCAGAATTATGCAAATAGAGTAGCAGAAATAGAGATGCCGTGTAAAGACAGCACACTACACAGAATCCCCCAGACTATTGGGTAGAAGGTAAAGTAGAAACATTATTCTAGTCAACTGTTTAAAGCAGAGGAAAGATGCATTCAGAAATAGGTTAGGGAATGCCACGGTAACAGAGGAAACCTGTTCAAATCATTTGGATAGGACTCTGAGGATTAAGAACTGCTAAGTGCTGCAGATAAAGGATAATGGTTTGACAGATGTGAATGGAGGAGGCCGGAGGAGGACTGCTAGAAATCAAATAGGTTCTGTTACACTGAATTCATTTCACACACACCACATAATAGCACCTGCAGAGTACATGAACTGGAAGTGTAAAGAACACTGAGAACGGGACAGAGCCTGTGACTGCAAGTACTGCAGAGGGGAAAGAAAGGAACATCAACAGATGAGCCACGGAGGGGATGACAGCAAAATGAATGAGATTCCAGACAATCAGCTGGCCCTGCAACTGCAGCTATGGGAGCAGGGCAGAAAACACTGAGAAGCCACAAGAGGTTCAGAAAGCAGCAGGGCTGGGGAGGTACAAGTCAAACACTATTGATCACAGCTTCAAGGAGAAGCTCACCATGCTTCTGGGTTAAAACACAGGAACTAAGCACTGCTTTAAGCACCAGACAACAGCAGACAGCTGGGGATGTGAGCATGACAGAGCACTGAGAGCTCAGCAACACTGACAGATCATTCCCAAATAAAGCACTGCAATGAAGGGCACAGCTGCACAGCACATCAGAGATCTACGCCAGCTCCAAGGCAACGTCAGCACGGCGAGGAGCTGCCAGCACTGCTTCTGGAGCACACAGAGAGCACACAGACACATCCTGCCGGCCACGAGGAACACCTTTACCCCTTTTTGTTCAGCTGCTGCTTCACCGGAGCTCTGCCAGGCGTTGCTGTTTTCTTCCCATCGCTCAGCTGCCGGCACGCTCTCGTTCCGGCCGCGTTCTGCATCCGCAGCCGTTCTTCCAACGGCAGGTCAGCCTCATCTGGAGGAGAGCGACGCACAGCTGAGCGAAGCAGCTTCTCACGGCTGCCCCGAGGCACTTTGCGGCCCGGAGCAAAAGACAAGCGGCACAAACAGCGCTGCCGCCCCTTCGCGCCCGTCCGGCAGAAGGAAACCGCTCCGCCTCGCTAAACCCTCGGACCCTCGCTCCGGAAGAGGCTCCCCTCCCTCCGCCCAGCAGCCCGGGTACAGCCGCAGCCCCGGGAGCCCCAACCACCGCCCCTGCCGGAGCCCCGCTCCGTACGGACGCCATTCCCGCAGCACAGCTTCTTCCAGCCGGTCGCAGCGCCTCGCCTCTCCTCGCCTCTCCTCACCTCCCAGCTCTGGGCCCGTCTCCTCCTCCCCGCCCGCCCCGCCGCCGCTTCCCACGCGGCGCCCTGCCGCCGCATCCGGCCGTCTCATGGCCGCCCGCCTCATGGCCGCCCGCCCCGCCGGCGGAGAACCCGCGGAAGCGGCGCACGCGCAGTCGGACAAAAAGGAAGGCAAAACGGGCGTTTATTGGTGGAGGAGCGGCGCGCCGCGCGCATGCGTCGTGTGCGACCCGGAAGCTTCCAGCGCGTCGCCTAGGAGACGGGCTAGCGCCAAGGCGGCGTCCGGCTGCGGCCGGCCGTAGGAACAGGCCTCCGTCCCGGTGTAGGCGGCGGGCGGCGAGAGGCTGTCGGCCAGGGCGCGGAGCTGTGCGGCCAGCAGACCGAGCCCCTCTTCCGGCGAGGAGGCGGCAGGCGGCGGCGCTGGGGCTGGGGCTGGGTAGAGCGGCGGCGGGCCGCACTGCCGGGCGCGCAAGTAGAGCGCCTCCTCCTCCCTGAGTAGCGGAACGCAGCTGTGAGGGGCGGCGCGCGGGGACCGGGAGCCGATGGCGGCCGTCGGGCTCGGCCCCCGCGTCCCCCCGGCCTCCTCCCTCCCCGAACCCTCACCTGAGGCTGCGGCCGGTGCAGGTGATGCAGCGGCCCCCGCGCCGCGCCGACACGCGGAGCCAGGCCCAGGTGCGGTCCCTGCGGAGCACGCGCAGCACGACGGGCCCCGGCGCGGCCCCGGCACCCAGCGCTGCAGGGAAGCGGCAGGGTCAGAGGGTGGCGGGGCGCAGCTGGCCTCGCTGCCGGGGCGGGCCTCGGTGGCCCCGATGCGGCCGCAGCCCCAGCGAGTCGGAAGCTGCAGACGGCGGTCAGGTCTGCAGCCTCGCAGAAAGGCAGGGCTCGAGGCAAACCCACGCGCTCGGTGTTTGGGGCGTAAAACTAGCCTACTGCTTCATGCTTTTTACAGGGAGAGGGACTCTGTTCACTTTGTTTTGGCTGTCCTAGGCAGCCAGGTTTCAAGTGCAGCCAAACAGCATTAGAGGAAGATACGTGTGAGTGTGGGCATAATACTCACCCACAGCCCTGTGCTGAGTGGCTGCTACATCAGCATCTTCAGGATGCAGGAGGCTGTACCATGACTGGCCAATCAGTTCCTCCCTGAGGTAGCCGAGGTGGTAGATGGCACTGGGGAGGACAAGAGGAGTGGGTCCAGCCTGCATCCCACACCCAGCCGTTGTGAAGGGAGATGATCCTGGCTGTCCTGGCACTCTCACCTCTCTGTGACATCCATAAACCTCATGTCTAGGGCATGTGTGCTCTGAAACAGGTTGTCCTGAGAATCAGCGTCATGATCTGCATCCAGCTGTGCAACCGGGGTGCAGAGGGCCAGGAAGGCTGTGGTGGAGGGGGAGGCCGGCCAGCGTGGGACCACAAAGCGCCCACGTACTGCCACAGCCTGATTTCCCCCGTGCTGCAGCCGGAAGGCCTTGGATGTACGCATCTCACTGACAAAGGTGATTTCTGCAGAGAGCAGATTAGAGACTCCTCAGCGCCCTCACTGGCAACCTGCTGGGTCTGACCTCAGCCATGGAGACTCAGAGCAGGGCAGCACCTATGAGATCCCAGCCTGGAGACCTCAGTGAGCACACTGCACTTCTGTTCTCCCCAGCCTTACCCCTGCCTGGCTGCTGCTGGGCAAGGAGAAGCTTCTTGTGCACGTCCTCCCATGCTTGCCCATCCATGATGTCAAAGATGGTGTCCCCGTGAGCAAGAAGCTCCACCTGATAGAAGGAGCTGTCATGGCAGGCCCCAGCGGGCTGTGTGCTGGCACACTGCAACCTCATAACCCTCCGACACTGTGCATGAGCCTCTCATGAGGACAGTGTGCCATGCACAATGGGCACAGGGAAACAGTGACTGCAAATCCACATTGGCCAGCCCTTACCATAGAGAGACCCAGGATCTGAGACACGTTCTCAGAGATGTAGACCAGCTTGCCACCGGCTGAGAGCACAAGCAGAAACCCTGGCAGCAAGGAGAGCAGCTCCGCAGCAAGGACCGGTCCTGAGGGAGGAGCTGAGGCTGCAGGGGGAGCACAGTGTGAAAAACTGTTTTGAAAGGGGACGGGAGCAGCACCCCATGCAGAGCAGAGCTTCGCCCATGAAAAAGGAACAGTAGTGCCCATGGGTACCTGGAGGGAAGAGGTGAGCTCCCCGAAGCTGGAGGCACACCAGGGCCATGGTGTGGAGGTAGGAGAGCCGCTCCTTCTCCTGCGTGGAGATGGGCAGCAGAGAGCGCAGTGCTTGCAGCTCCGCATTGATCTGGTCCCGACGTGCCTTGGAGGCACTCTTGGTTGACCTGCAAAGCCAACTGTTTAGGGAGTCCTGCCCAGGGAAAGGGACAGCGTTCCCCATCTCCTGCTATGGGAACACTGGGCCCCGGGGCAGTTCGGTGCCCCACGCAAGGTCTCTGAGGAATAGCAATCCTATGGTGGATGCAGACAGAGGTGCGTGTGGCTGCCTAGCAGGAAACACTGCTGGTGTTTGCAGCCCCGTGCTTTAGGAGCTAGCTGAGTGACATGACCTCCCCACCAAGCCCCGCTAGGGCAGAAACCGCATCCAGTGCCAGATCATGAACTGCAGCCCATTTGATCTGCAAGTTGCACCTGCCTTCATTCAAGCCTCCCAAAATCTCTCTGCCCCCTCCAAGATCCTATGCCTCAGCGTCCCAGGCTGGCAGAAACCCCTTGCACCTGGCTGGGTCTCACTGTGGCCAGGAGCGGCTCGCAGCCTCCCCTTGCAGGTAAGGGGCAGAGGGGGGCTCACCTCAACGGCTTGGAGGCACCGTGCGCCTGCTCAGCCCTCCTGGGCAGGCAGCTCGTCTCTGCCTGCAGCGGCCTGTGGCAGTGGCTGCAGAAGATGGTCATGGTGCCGGCGCTGGGATGCCTGGAGCTGGCAGCGCGCTTCTTGCCGCCTTTGCCTCTGGCTGCGTCTGAACCTGCTGACCCCGCTGCTCCTGGCCTCCTTTTGTAGCCTGCAGGGGCGCAGGGGCCAAGCTGGCGTGTGGAGGAGAGGTTCCCCTCCTGACGCAACTCCAAACATCTTGGGGCTATTTTTAGAAGGCAGGCCGCTAAAAATAGCCCTCACAGCCGGCTGCAATCTGAGAGGGGAAGCAATAAAAGGAAGCTGGGGTCTTTAAAGCAAACTCGGTGGCTCAGGAGGGGGTGATGACGAAGGGAGCAGGGATCCCACTGCAGGGCATGTGTCCATCCGGCTCCTGGCCCACAGCTAGCAGCCCAGCACTCGCTCCTGCCATGGGATGGAAGCTTGCGGTGTGTGCAGGGCCCTTTGGAGAAAGTGCTAAAAACTCCCTCCCCAGCGAGGCCCTTTTCCCCACCAAATGTTTCCTCTAAGAGGAAGCTGACACAGGGCACTGAGCCCCTCCAGCCTCTGCTCAGTGTCCCCAAGCTTGTTATTCTCCTTGGAGAAGCCACTCACAGAGACAAGAGCATTTTGGGGTACTTCTGTGCTCAGCATTGTGCTGACTGATGCAGCAAGTCAGGGCGGTCTGTGCACGTTTCCTGGTGCCCAGCACCCCACAGGGAGAGTAGGCTTGGTGCTCCAGTGCTGAGGAAGGGGATGCTGCAGCAAAAAGCTCCAGCATTTCATGGCACACAGCCATCACCATCTGTCAGCTGTCCCTGATTTCTGCATCCCAGTAAAAGCCCACAGTTCCCTCCTACCTTTCCCTGCATTGTTAGCACAATTTCACCCCTGCACCCACCCACCTTGAGGCAGCAAGGCCTGGGTGATGCTCACCAGCTGCCTCCCATTCACCCTTCTGTCACTCTCCTGGGACGCAGCTACGTTGTGGCTCAGGCCAACTCTTCCTGCTGGCCCCAGCTCCCACCAAGCATAGAGAGCTTGCAGCTGGCTCAGCCACTGCCCTCTCCTCCCATACCTCCCACCCAGCATAGCTGCCCAGACTTGGACACACAGAGCAGCAAAAAAGCAACTTCCACCTCAGTGTTTATAAAACGCCCACTGGTCACTGTGTTACAACCTGAGCCAGGCAGCAGAGCCCCCATGTTGGGTGCAGGGGCTCAGCTCCACCCTGGGCCTGCAAGCAAGTGCTGGGGGCAGCTCAGCACCACTGGGTGCAGGCACAAACGTCATCATGATTACGAGGCAGCACAGGAATAGTTCTGAGCCTGGGGCTGGCAGCAGGAGTCAATTCAGGCCCTTACTGGCAGGGCACCAGGCCAGTGCGGCTGCAGTTCTTCAGGCGAGGATGGGGGTTCACCGCTGTGCTGCTGGGGCACGCAGATTTCTTCCCCAGGGGCACGCTCTGCCTGCACACCCATGCTGCCCTGAATGCAACAAGGGCCCAAGGAGGCCTGGCTGGGGCAAGACAAACAGAGCTCACGTAGGTTCCTTGCTTGAAAGGGCTAAAAATTCATGCAGGCAGTGGAGCAAGAGGTCAGTGTGTGGAGGGGTGAGTACAGGGTGATAGAAGGCTGAGCCAGCATCAGCCCTGCGAGGAGACGATGGGGCGGCTGATGGTGCTGTTCGTTGTCATGGCCGAGAGCTCCCATCTGTAACACAACAACAGGGCATGATTAGAAGAAGCACGAGTCCAGCAACCAGGGCTGGAGCACCCCAGGGAGCACGCATAGGTGAGCTCCAATGCAAGGCCTACAGTACCTGATGTCGTGGGGAAGGCAGGACTGGTCCAGGCTGTACTGGATCACTGCTAGCTTACACAACGTCTTTAGGCTAGGGCCTGTGGATAGAGGGCGATTAGCCACAGCAGTCCTCATCTGGGCACTATGGGGGCTCAGGGCATCAGGCAATCAATGCCACAGGAAACGGTGCTTCTCAACGAGGCACCTGGTGGCAAAAGGCACACACCGTGCAGGGAGCACTCACGTACTGAAGTCGAGGATGTAGAGATCTGAGTGATCCATCAGGTCGAATTCATCGCCCATGCCCTCCTCCGGAGATGGGCTGCAGAAGCCAAACAAAGCTCATCAAGCAGTGCCAAAACACTTGCATAGCAATTGCAGTTCTTTAGGCTCCCCAAGGGCTGAGCAAGTCCAGGACTGAACTCAGTCTGCTTGGAACCCTCCGAGGGGTTCTTAAAGAGGACAACTCTGAGCAGGCTGGAGATGGGATGCTACAGCTGCTCCTGAATGCAAGTGCGCTGGCGCAGCTCCGTGCAACAAACCAGACCCACGGGCTGCCCCACAGCAAACGGGCTGGCATCCCCTGGAGAGCCCAGTGCAGAGTTCACAGCGATGCTGTCTCATGTGAGTCTGCCCCAGAATGTGTTAGAAAACAAACAGATCAAGGAGCCTAGCCAGGCAAAGGCCACCCCAAATGCAGTGCAGCAAGATACAGTCCACACCATGCCTTTTCAAAGACCTTAGGCCAGCTTCAATGCACAGCCAATGGGAAACAGGAGGTCAGCCAGCTCACCTAGGGCAATTCAGACACCGCTCAGTGGCACAACGCACAGTCCAAAGAGCAGTGCTGGCAGCCCCAGTGAGGTAGGCAAGATCAAGCTGGACACCCATGTCAGCTTTCTGGGAGGCTCTCTCTAGTTGTACTACAAGACCGCAGGGCATGGGAGCCACAATCTGTCTCCAGGGATGCTCAGCTCTTGCTGTCTACCTCAATTCTTGCTTCCCAAGGTAGCACAGAACATCTGCAGACTGCAACACAGTGTGCTGCTTGTGAGTCATGCCACGGACTCTCCTGCCTATAAACTCTCCAGAGCACTGATGCTGCTGGGGACAGAGCAAGCATGCAGCGTACCAAACCACCTCAGCACTGCTGGAGTGTGGTAAGCCAAGCAGCTTTCTTTGAGCACATTATGGAAGATGCTTTGTTGCAGTTTTCTACAGAAGAGTGAAGGTAGCAGCTCAGAATGAACAACTGAAGCAGCCACTGAGGTCTCTTCTTGGCTCGGCAGCAGCTCTTTTCCTCTTTTTCTGCAAAAGCCATATGCACAAGTTCTCCTATTTTACTAGCATATGTTCCACTGCCCCTGCAGCTGGACTACCTTTGGGCTCCCTGCAGTTCAGGCTAAAGCTGTGTGCCAAGCACAACAGCACAAGGTTTGAATCAGATTCTGCACAGCCACAGAGTTCATCGCTCCAGTTCTCACACAGGGAAGATCTACTGCAGTGATTTCAGCACAGCCATTGAGATGTATGAGAAAGGTAGAGATGGCAGCTAGGAGACACCTGCACAGCAGTGCAGGCACAGACATCTCTCAGTCTGACTGCAGGAATTACTGCTGGCTCCATGCACAGCTGCTTGGCTGTGTCAAAATGGGGGCAGCAGTTTCAAGAGACTGCAGCTGAGCCATCCCACCATGCCATGCTCCCATCTGATGTCAGTCCTGGGGTACCAGCGGGAAGCTGTGATTTCAGGTATGGCCAGGGAACAACAGGCAGCCTCAGTTGAAGTTCTCTGCCTCTGTGGTCTTGACGGAGCAGCCAAAGTCACTTGAGAGATGGCTCACTGAGTCCCCCAGCACAGACAGACCAGCCTGTGCTGGAGCATTAGTGCTTTGCCCAAGCACTGATGGCTGTTTGGAGATCTTGCAAGAAAGGAAAGGTGTTCTGAGTCATTCTTTGGCTTGCCACAAGGCAATTCAGTACATTCTTACTGCTTAGCTGGGACCTCATGCAGTGATTCTCACTGCAGTGTTGCTTGCTGTCCACCTATAACCCACCAAGCTTCACATCGGACAGGAGGTAAGGCAGCACCTGTGTCCCCACTCCTCAGCACCCCCACAGAAATACGAGGCACAGCTTGCTGCTGGCAGAGAAGACCTGCTGCTGATAAGTCCCAGCTGCCTGGATACAAGAACACCACAATCTAATCTCACATCCACGTCACAGGAAGACCTAGGGCATCTCTTATCTTCCAAAGAGAAGCCAGCAGGCAGCGCAGTGTGCTCGTGGCTTTATCGTCCAACTGCAAGCAGCTGGGGAAAGCCTGGAGTTCAAGACCAGGAGTGCTGCAGCTCCCAGTACACAGGGAACCAGCCAGAACCCAGCAAAACTTTCCCTCACCAAGCCAGGCTTTTCTAAGCTAGGTCAGGATAGAGCAGCTCCAAGCCAAACCTGGATCAGCACCCATACAGCTAAACTCTGACTTATGGTACTCCATCTCCTCTTCATTCTCCCTTTGTAGATGGTCTCTGTGAAGTGCTGGTGACTTTGGGAGGAGACCAAGCCTGGGACACAGCTAGCAGAAGCACTGAGCTTAGTGCCACATGGCTTCCCTGTCACCGAAATGGGACACAAACAACAGGATTGCTGCTGGCCTTAATGAAAACCCACAGATAGGCAACAGGACGGAGCAGTGGGCAGGACTGCAAAACAAAAAGAAGCACATGGATGATGCGGCAGCAAGCACCTGCAGAAGAACTCCTGAACAGCCTCTGGTGCAGTGAATCCCTGTCAGGAAGGACAGGACACAAAGGGGTTTGCCTGGCCGTGCCTGACACCGTTGCCTGGCTGATCCTGCAAGGCGCCGCTGAATCCCCCGCATCCGTATGTTCCCCTCCCCTTCCCCAGCAGGGGAGCACAGGTCAGCAGGCAGACCGCAGGGAGTTCTCCATTTACAATGACTTCCTGGAAAACTTCTTATCTTGCCAGCCGGCTCCAGAACACACCTGATAACCATTACAGGAAGCCAGCACAGCCCCCACCCTAGCCTGCAGAGCTGTCCCTCCATCCAGGCAGGCTACATTCTTGGCCACCAGCAGCTTTTCCTACCCCAGCCTGGTATGGATGAACCTTGCAGAAAGAACAAGGCAAACACTGAAGTTGGTCAGTGGAAAAGACAAGCTGCTGCCAGTCTGTCTGGCAGAGGTGGACTGGCCTCTGAAAAACTGGTGTCAAATTCAATGTGGTTTGCTAGTGTTAGTTAGGACAGCTGAGTTTTAACACCCAGGTTCATCTGCTGCACTATCTACCAAAGACTGCAACAACTGAGGGCATCCAGAGCTGCCATCGAGCCTTCTGCTACACAGAGCAGCACCCAGTATCTGTGGGAAGCCTGGATAAACTCAGCACCTCCCAGCACCTCACCGTGCACTGCAGGCTCCTTCATACCCACACAGGCATCCTACCTCTATGCCTCCTCCCACTGCCAAGCTCTTCTGGAGCTGAAGGCCCTTTGCTTCATCAGACATTGGTACATCAGCCCATCAACTGCCCTGTCTTGTCCTCTGCCCCAGCTTCTCCCCAAAAAGCCACTACCGGCGTTCCAGAGAAAGTCTCAAATCTTTCCAAATCATTTGGAGGGCTGAAAGCATTTCAGATGTCTGTGAAAGGTAAATGCTGGCAAACAGGCCTGCGCTCCAGAGCTGCAATCTGTCATTTCAGACAGCGCAAAGCATGTCCTAGTGATGGGCTACTTCCTTCCTTTTAGCAGCTGCTAAGGCTCTTGGCCACATCCAGCTGCTCTCCATCCTGACAGTACCAACTCCAGTGTTTGACAGCTAAATCCTTAACACTGGATCCCTTCTATGAATGGAAATTTTGCTAAGGAACACTGCTACACAGAAGGGAATGCTACTTTGCGTGAATGGGTCAAACAGCTCCCGGCTGAGCTGACATCTCTCTGCAGCTCAGCAGACACAAGTCCTGCCAATGAAGGAGAAATTCTGATGGGAGAAGCAGGGCAGCATGTAATGGAGAATAAATCAGTCTGAAGTCTGCTTCAGCACAGCAGACCAGGCCTGGGGTACCAGCGGGAAGCTGTGTCTTGCTTGGAGAACAAGACTTGTCATCAGGTGCTTCACAAGTTAACACAACTTCAGTTTCCCCTTTGCTTTTTCCAGAGGAGCTATGATGTGTGTAATTTGTCACACTTGATGTTAGATGGACAGTTGCCATGTGGCTACAAAGTGAAGCTGACTACAGCATGGAAGGAAATTGTGCTGAAGGGAATGGCAAACCCTTCCCCAAAGCCACACCATTGGCCCCCTACAACTCACCTGGTGCCTCCAAAGAGGATGATTTTGTCCCCTACTCTGCAGCAGCACTGCCGGCGTCGAGGACATGGGCCTTTCCCCTTGGGCTCAATCTTCCTCCATGAAAGGGAAACTGAGGTAAAGGGATAGGGGTGAGAGAATGCACCAGCTTGTCACAAAGCCCTGACCAAGACCTAGGTATAAGCAGGTTATGGAATTAAACCACAGAAGCAAATAAATGAATAAAACAGAGGCCCCACAGATACCAGTCAGCCAACACGCACCCTCCCCGTCCACCTCATCTTTGCTGGAGGCAGAACAACGCACTCCCATAGGGTTGTTGATGGAGGCTTGCTTTGATGCCAGGCACGGCCCTCAGAGCTCTGGACAGGAGTTGCAGGTTCTCCCTGCAGCCACTGTGACAAAACCAGGCCTTTCAGCTACAAAGCTCGAGCCCAGGGGCTGTGGAAAGCAGCAGGTTTAACATCACAGGGAGCTGTGCAGGCAGGAGCGGTCAGCTCCCCTTCCCCAGCGTGGGCCTGATCTGGAGTGGAAGCCCAGGAACCAGCTCCATCTGTTGGCAGCCACGGAGAACGCAGAGCATCCTCCTCGAGCTGGGGCAGCTGGCTGCGGGAGAACGGAGATTGAACCAGGCAGAGAGCAGAGCCTTTGCCCCTGCTGCTCCCTGTGGCAACGACGCTGGGGGTGATTAATCACAAACATAAAGCACCAAAGCTTTCAGCAGCTCTCACACTAGATCACAGGTCAGCCGGGGAACAGCAAGCTGCCTGCTCCCCCATAACCACGTACAATTCTTATAAGGCTTCACTGTGCAAAGTGATTAGCAATCAAATCACGTCTCGTGGATTGCCAAAAGTGTTTGAGTACAGAGGACTCCAAAACATCTTACAGCTGACCGACAGTTGGGGTACCAGATCAAGAACCACCAAGCTGACACAGTACCAAGAGAGCATGCTGTGGTGATGCTGCAGGTTAAGCTGACTGGTTCCACTAACCCCATACCTTTTATTCTGCCATCAGTTCTGTGTGTTAAAGAACAAACCAAAGTTTTTTCCAAGCACCTTCCAAATAAGCACCTTTCAGCAACATTTCCTTTTTCTAATGAGAGCTGGAGATGGTTTGAGGAGGTGCAGGGGCACTGAGCACAGCACGTTTCTGTCTATGTGGTCATGGCAGCCATTTCCCCCAAGCAAGCCCTTGGACTGTACGTTCATCTGAGCACTCACACACCTGAGAGCCTCGAGCACCATCAGTGCAACAAGTTAGAAGCGTAAATACCTGGATTGAATTTCCAGAGGTCGTGGAAGTGTCTGTTCAGGCGCGCGTTGTAGCCACCAAATACGTAGAGCTCCCCATTGTAGCTGACTGTGGGGAGTAAACAGACATCAGCGTGCCACCCAGGGCAGAGCCCAGCAGGCCCCTGTCCCAACACCAAACACAAAGCAAAGCAATGCTCGCTGCCCACTTTAGCTTATATCACTTTCACACACAGGGCTGCACGCAAGGCTTTGCTACGGGCCGCAGCTCTCCACAGAAGCCAGGCTCTAAGCACCCCTCACCCTCCCACACTTCCACCCAGTGGAGTAGACACCCTTGTGCTATGGATGGGAACTCCTTTCCACGTTCTCCTCTCCCAGCAGCCCCACACTCACATGCTGAATGGCTCCGGCGACCTTCAGGGAGCACTGGAGTGGGAGGGGAGTCCAGCCAGGAGTTTGTTTCTGTATCAAACACTTTAATGCGGTTACAGTAGATCTCGTTGTTGGAGTGAAATGGCCCAAAACGATCAGCTCTGCCCCCAAATACATACATCTTTGTTCCAATGATGGTAGCTGAATGGAAGTCTCTCCAGCGAGCTGGTGTACCCTGCAGGGACAGGTTAAAACAGCAAGAGAAACAGTGCCAGTTACCCAGGGAGGTGTATATCCCTCTTGATAGGGATATGCCTTCTCCTGCAGATCCCAGCCACACCAAAAAGGAGCTGGGAGACAAGCATGGGCACCTACCCCAGAGAACAGCCCAACTGAGACTTTCTCCACAAACCAGAATGAAAACCAGACACTGACCTTGGCAGAGATTAAGGTCCACATCATGTTTGTGGTGTCCAATTTATGGATGTCGTTTGAAAAGCAGTCAGCCTGGAAGACAGCAGCGCAGCCTGGTTACCAAAGCACTGAGAGGCCTGCTGACACCAGACCAAGGCAGCTACCCTAGAGACTCACAGCACTCCTTTGGACCCAGCACTTCCTAGCAGACGCAGTGCTTGCTCCAAAACATCCAAGCAAGCAGCACGTGCACTTAACAAGGAGGTAAAGCTCACCCCTCCTTACAGCTGTTCCTTCTCTCCTGCAACCTTCCCATTTATTCAGAGCTTGGCTCCTACCACCAAGATCTGCACACAGCAGAATTTTACCTCCACTCCATGCCGCAACAGAAGAAGGTGGAGAAACTTCCTCTGCTAAGGCCATGCAATGAGAGGTAGGAGCTAGGATGACTTTAAGGAAACTCAACACACAAGAGTAAATACAGGTGAGGATCCCACTAATCTGCAGCTTGCAGCTGAGTAGAGCTTGCACTCACACAAATAGAACAGACTTCTGCTCCTCCAGACAAGGGAGATGGCAGCAAAACCAAGAAGGCAGGCTTGTTTGGCCTTGGTTAAAAACAACCCATGCTTGTAGAGCTGCAACCAAGATCACGGGCTTAACGTGCCAGAGAACTCAGAAAGCCAGGGGAAGAACCAAGGCACTGCCATCACAGCCCAGCTTTCATCCAAACAACGTGGCACAACTTTCCTCGAGTCTGGTGATAGCCTGAAGTGATATTTACTCTTCTAAGTTCAGAGCATAAGGATTTACTTAAAGGGGTGTTAAGCACACTGGCAGTGCAGGATGATCTCCGTCCTCCTTACAGGAAGGACAGGTGCTTGCTGGAGAGGCTCAGCAAGGCATGAGAAGAGGTACAGAGCACAGGGAGCATGCACCACACTGGGACAAAACAACAGCACTACAGAATCAGAAGCAGTGCATTTCTTGGGCGTTTCTTAGCTAAATTAGAATACATTTGTTATATTGCTATTTATTTATCTGAAGTTGTTGGAGAAATGCGCCGTAAAATAGAACATTTATATTTTAACTCCGTGTGCTTTGGGAAAGCAAACAAAAAATCTGCCCCTTTCACAGACCTACCAACCACCTCCTCTGAAAAATCATGGCACTCATTATCCAGGTTAGGCTCATAACTTTGTCGAGTTATAAAATGAAGGCAACTGCAAACATAAATATGCCCACGTCCCCCTGCCTCTGCTAATGCCCTGGGCAGGAATACCCTCTTTCCCATGCCAAATAAGTGTTTGAGATTACTCACCAGCTGTTCATAGCCTCCAAAGATAAACATGCTCTTTGCCAGGACGCAAGCTGAGTGCCCGTCTCTTGCTCCTGGGACCATTCCAGACACCTTTGGCGTGAACCACTTGTGCGTGTCTGAAATAAAACAGGAGGCAATGCTAAGAAGGTACAGTAGATGTCGGGATGGGAGGGCTCTCCACAGCCATTCCTCATTGCTAGGCAGAAATCCTTATTTCACACACAGCACCTGCTTCTTCAGCGAGCTTCTCCAAGCGAGGCTGCCTGCCTACCTGAGCTTCCACAGAGGGCACAGCAACAGAGGCCCTCAGCTCTGGGGCACAGCCAACGTCCAGCGTGACAAACAGCTCAAGTTCTACATGTGATTAGTACAGCACTGCTTGAGCAATGTTATTTCTATTGACTCACAAGTAGGCTTTGCAAGAGGTGCAAGAGACTGGAAGCTGGCAAGGACTGTAGCAAGTCTCAAGAAAGGCAAGAAATAAGCCCTTGGTAATTACAGGGCTGACAACATCACTTTGGTGCTGGTAAAACTATGGAGATTATGCTGAGAGTTATTGAAAAACACCTGAAGGACAACGTGGTCATTGGTTCGCAGCCAATGTCGGTTCATGAGAGGAACGTTCTGTTTAACAAATTCAATCTCCTTTCATGGCAAGGTTAGCCCAGCACAGAGCTCAACAAAAACAATGCAGTGGGTGAGCAGTTGGCTGGCAGGTCAGGTTATAGGGTTATAGTGAACGGTTACATCAGGCTGCATCCAGTCACCAGCAGGGCTCCTCAGGGCTTCATTTTAGGGCCGGATCTCTTTAACATCTTCATAAACGACTTGAATGTAGGACTAGAATGTGTTTTGAGCAAGTTTGCTGATGATGCTAAATAAGGAGGAGCTACTGACTCTGCTGAGGGCACAGAGGCCTCACAGAGAGATCTAGATAAATTAGAGAGCTGGGCAATCACCAGCCACATGACAAGAGACGGATTCTGCACCTGGGAAGGGGCAACCCTGGCTGTACAAACAGGCTGGGGGTGAGACACTGGGAGCAGCCCTGCTGAGAGGGATCTGGGAGTCCTGGTTGGCAGCAAGTTGAACATGAGCCAGCAGTGTGCCCAGGCAGCCAGGAGGGCCAGCCCCAAATCCCTCTCCGCAGGGCTATTCTCAATTAGTTCATCTCCCAGTCTGTACTCATATCTAGGACTACCCCAACCCAAGGGCAACACCTTGCACTTGGTCTTATTGAACCTCATTCGGTTCTCATGGGCCCACTTTTCAAAGCCTGTTCACGTCCCTCTGGATGGCATCCCTTCCTTCTGTTGTATTGAGTGCATCACTCTGCTAAGTGCTACCAGGAAGCTTGCTGAGGGTACACTCAATCCTACAGTCTCAGTCATTGATAAAAATGTTGAAGAGAAATGGTACCAAGACAGATCCCTGGGGGACACTGCTTGTGATTGGCCTCCATCTAAATGTAGAGCTGCTGATCACAACCCTATGGTTACAAATGTCCAGCCAATTCTTTATGCACTGAACAGTCCAGCTTTCAGCTCCACCTCTCTAATTTAGAGATAAGGATATGGGGCTAGACCATGTCAAAGCAGATGATATCAGTTGCCCTTTCTTAGTTTATCAGTGCTGTCAATCCACCATAGGAGGCCAGAGTCCCCATTTTGCATGGCCCAGAGCAGAGCTGAGGAGAGGCCTGATGGCAGCTGCAGCTCTCCCAGGGAGCGGAGGGCAGCTCTGAGCTCTGCTGTCTGCACAGCGACAGGGCTGAGGGAACGGCATGGAGCTGCGTCAGGGGAGGGCAGGTGGGGGTGAGGGAAAGGCTGTGCCCCAGAGGGCGGTGGGCATGGCACAGGCTGCCCAGGGCAGTGGGCACAGCCCTGATGCCGGAGCACGGGGGTCTGATTTTCAGGTGGTGCTGCATGGAGCCAGGAGTTGGATTTGGTGTTCTTCGTGGATCTCTTGCAACTCACAATATTCTATGATTCTACAGTTTATCAACTTTGCCTCTACAGCTTCAACTACAGTGAAGAAATCATGCTAAATGGCCCAAGTGACCTCACAGCTTGGAGACGCTAACTAATTAATTGAAGAAAACTAGCACTCAAAAACCCAGCCAGAAGTGACTGACCCACAAGGTTATTGTGTCAACAGAGCTGCAGGGCACATCTTCACCTCTGCAGCTCTCCCTGTCTTATCTGCTCCTCTTGCCACATCTGCACCCCCTCACCCAGGGGAGATTTTCCTGCCCTCCACCCTTCACAGTCCCCTCACCACCGCTCCCCACACACCTACACAAGCTGGATTCAGCCCTCAGCCCACATGTCCCAAGAACTGAGTTAGAGGAGGACTTGAAATCCAGCCAGAGCTGTTCTCCATGCAGGGCAACGTGGAGCTGTGCCAGCAACTCCCTGCCAAGCACAAACAGGCACCTGTCCCATGAGCCCACAGACAGGCACAGATAAGCCTCGAGGCAGACGGAGATGTCCCCCCACAGCCCCCCTGAAATACTGCAAGCTGCCAAGAGCCGTACTTATTTCAGGAAGTGGTAAAACTGGAGCCAAAGCAACATTCTTCGTGAGGATAACTCCTCTGAACTTGGCCCATGACCATAGCAGTTCACCTAGGCTCTAGCTGGAACCACACAGAGGGGTTTGCAAGGTCAACAAAATCCTGGGCAGGCCAGCTAGCAAGAAAGCTGCAACAGCTATCAAGTTCCCATCCTTCCCAAGAGCTGCTTCCAAGCCCAAGTCACACGGCAGCAGCAAGAGCTTGGCCTTGCATAATGTGTCAAATCAGATGGAAGAGACCTTGCCTCACGGTCAGCTCAGTGCCTTCATCTCCAAATGACAAAACTGCACTCAGCCAGGACTTATCCAGCCTGATGCAACGGATACAATAGAGCTCACACCACAGTCGGAGGAGTGCCAGCCACACTTTCCAGGATTGGCAGAGGACAGGCACTGTGTGCACAGACAGCTGCACGGGGTTTGGACCAGGACTTAGGGCTGGCCTTTTCAGTTAATTTGCACTTAATGCTAAAGTGCTGGAATTGGCAGGGACACCAGGCAGCTCCCACTGCAAGGCTTCTGCATAGAAGGCAATCTGCTGTGGCTTCCTAGCTGCGTGTACCGGGGGAAGGGGGAAAACCCTGTGCCCAGAGAGCTCCAGGCTTCAAGACTTCTGGCAACAAAGAGAACTCATGACCAAGCAGCAAGCACTTGTCACTGCAAAACCCAGTTAGTGGTTCGTATTTAAATGAACTTGCCCCAGAATCCAGATGTGCCCCCCTCCTTCCCTGACACTCCTGTCCACCCAGTCCCTGAAACACCTGTGTGCAACAACAGCATAATGAAGAAAACAACTTGAAATCTCAAGGAGTTTATGCTGCGGATTTATCTAATCTGGCTCAAGCCTGCCCTTATTTCTCCATTCTGTCCTCAGCCACTTCAGCACTCAATTCCTCACTCTGCTTCATGCTGTCAGAAAGAACCAGCTCCCTGGAAAGCAACAACAATCCTCAAGAGCCCTTCTTGTGCAGCCATCAGCCACAGCTAAGGGGTATATCAGAGAGAGCTCTTCAGTTACAGCTACTATCGCTGAGAGTGCACAAAGCTGACAAAAAAATTCAAAATCATTTGCCTGTCAGAGAATTTCAATAATTTCTATTCAAAGGCTTTCACAGAGAGTCAGGTGTGCAGATGCCACCCTGCTGAATCATCCAGCAGCACCAATTCTTCATCTGCCCTGTTTGCTCTACGCTGCCACTTTGTAGAGACCAGAGGCAGGAGAACAAGCTGGGCAGCGGCACAGCGGGGCAGAGAAAAGGTCTCACCAAGGGCAGCTGTGATGAGGATGAGTAAGGAGGTGGAACTTACTGACATCAAAGGCATAGAGCACATTGCAGGCGCCCTCGGTGTCGTTGCGGCCTCCCCATATGTAGACGATGTCGTCGATGAGCACTGCTGAGTGCCCGTACCTCATGTAGGGCACCTCTCTCACTTGATCACGGCTGTTTGTCCACACTGGAGGCAGCTTGATCCAGCGCAGGGACACTGGAAGTATAAGTTAGAGCCTGTGTTAAGCCCACTGTGCAGGCTCGCCCATCTACCCATCGCGGGCAAGCGAGCATTCATGAAAGCAGAAAGCCTGACGGCTGTTTTCCCCCTGCACAATAAGGAGCAGGAGCAGTTTAGCAAGCAAGACAGAGCTGTGCCTGACCCCAAATAGTAGGTGACTAAGAAATATGGAAGCACTGCTTTCCACTGTTTAGGCAAGACTGCAGGAAGCACAGAGGACTGGAGGAATCTGGACAGAAATAGCTTTGGTTCTGCATTACCACATCAAAAGAATTTCTGCTCTTGCTCATCCTGAACCAGGAGGGAAGGTACAACACATAAGTAGACACCCCCCCCCACACACACACAAACCACCACATACACCCTCCAAAACAGGAAAGAAAAGAAGGGGGAAGGTGATAATGAATGACACTACTTCAGGCTAGTGATGTTTTTGAAGAAGATGCTCAAAGCAGAAGGAATGGGCAGCACAGGAATAATGCACTGCAGGGCAAGGTGAGAAGGCATCATTTGGATTTTGGAAGCACAGTCTTAAGAAAAACAACACAGTAGCTTTGTAGAAACAGCGATAATTGTTATTAAAATAATAAGAACACGACAAAAAAAGTAAAACCAAACTTCGGAGCAGACAGCTGTGTCTCTCTTATCCCCATCCACACCTCAGCTCTCCCTGCTGACCTTGAGGTACAAACAGGAGTGCCTTGTGATTACAGGTTCTCCTTCCTGGAGCCTGTAGTCACGTTCAGTAGTAGGCAGGGCAGCCAACATGCATTACAGGGCGGAACGACAGTGCAGGAGTCACAGCAGGCATTACATGGCCAACCTTACCAAAGGGAAAGGATCAGGCACCTCGAGAGGCGAGTGTCCACCTCTGACGCAGGAAGGGCAGGGGGAAGTACAGCCAAACTCAAGCTAAACAGGATGTTCCCTGCCTAAAACATGGTCTTCCTCTTCATAACATTGAGAGAGACCACTCAAAGCCCAGTACTTTGGCTTTGGCACTTAAACCCAACAGCACTAACTCAGCAAGGGCTTGGGAAGCCAGCAGCACCTCCCAGGCAGTGGCCACAGCACCATGACTCTTTAATACCAGGGAGTGGTAAACAGGGAAGGCAATACAAGAGCATTCCTTTGGGCAGGGTAGGAATGTGCTCCCCACAAGAGCAGTGCTCTGATGCCATTTTCAACTGCCTTGACTGCGAGAGCCCAGTCTCTCTGGCTAGAGGTGAATGTCCAGTCAGGAGTTCCTGAGCTACGTTCCCTTCCACACCACGAGCCGATCACCTCAACAACCCCACAGAACCATTTTATCCACCCCTGCACATGCCGCTGCCTTCCCCAAAGCCAGATTTAGAGCAGTGCATTCTTTGTACCTTGCAGCAAACTAGTCTGCATATTAGGAGAGGTTGCAGAGTGGGCAGCACGCACAGCAACCAGCCCTTAGTTGCCAGCTGGACTCATCCAAGCACCTGTGCAATTTTTCAGCCTAATTATAGGGGAGCACTTTGCGGACCAGCTCAGCAGTCTCTTCAGTTCAAAGAGCACTGAATCAAGGAATGCAGCCTCTCCCAGCCACGGTTTGCCACGTCCACTGGCACGTCACTGCCACAGTTCAAGTCAGCCCTCAGATACGTACGAGGTCCTCTACAAGATGGACTCTGGCTGCTTTGCAAACAGTGCAAACCCGTGTGATACCAACCAGCTGGCTGCTGCCAGAATGGAAAACCTCCACCGAGCCACAGTCAGACAGCACAGAACAGAGCAGAATGCATTAATCGACAGCGTGCAGGAGAGCCGATAACTGAGCGCAGCGCTCCTTCCCGCCCCGCATTTACCTGCATTAAAAACGTGCACGTCGATCTGCCGCAGCGTCTCATAGTCTTCTCCAGAGCAATACCCACCAAAGGAGTACACCTTGTGCCCCACGGCCACGGCCGCGTGGTTCACCCTGCGTGGCCCACCTTCCAGGTGCACCGCCCACCGTAACATCCCTCCTGTGAGCCCGGCGCTCCTCAGGGCTCCCAGCACCACAGCCTCATGCTTCTCAGGCCGTCGGCACGCCTTGCAGACGTCACCTGGCTCTGTAACAAAGGCATCATGCTAAAATAACACCATCCGTCTCGCGGGTCTCCCTGCCTTCCTTGAATGCCAGCTATGAAGGTCATATTGCTGCGCCCTCATCTGCCTTCCAGCTGAAGATGGTCTTGCTCTCTCCTTGGAAAGGAGATGCAGTGCGGGTACCGCAACCCGAGCAAAGTGAGGAGAGCATGTAGAGATGCCCTCCACACAGAAAGCTCGGGGCACTGTGCAGGCAGCACAAGCCAAGAGGTTGTTGTGAAGGCGGCGAGCGCTGCGTGCCAGCCATGCCCCAGTGGCGCACACACGATGTATGTGCCAGAACAATTTGTCTGCATGAACGAATGCACACAGCGAGAGCCAACTAGGAAGGTGAAAAGAACAGAGCTGGGGGAAGAGTGTGGTCTTTGGATCAGTTGTGAGAAATGCCAGAGGAGGGAAAAAAAGCAAAAATAAAACAACAAAAAAAAAGAAACACACCACAAGGATGACAACCAATTCAAAAAGCCCCAAAAGAACACCTCCCTCCAAAAGCAACAGAGTCCCCTATAGGAGTGTGCACTGCAACAGCAGCACTCACGCGTGCTGATCACTCAGCATCAGCATAAGCCCCTTCCCCCTACTGTTCGTAGCTCTGCACATCAGGTAGGATGATAACTCACACTGCAAGCAGGTGGCTCGGAGCAGCTCTCGAGGCATTCAGCAGGGCAGATTTCTGCAGAGCTTCACCCAGGACCCAAGGATGCGGAGCACAGCCCTGCCCAGGCACTTGTCAGACAGCACCTCTGTCACAGCCTTCGTCCACAGCTGAAAAGCAGCCATTAGAGGAGAAGTGTCAGCGTTTCAAACAGCCCAAAGAAAACCCCCTTTCTAATCGCTCGGCTTCCGCTCCCCAGACTTAGCAGGCTCCCCCCACGCTCAATTTTAGCATTTGCAGAAGGCGAAGAACTGTGCAGACGCCTCAGAACGATGACTAAAATCCCCACACGTTTTCTCAGCCCATTTTTTTTTTTTGGAAGGTGGTTAAGTTTGCATGAAGGGAACGCTGCTCCTGAAGCAGCCGTGTGCAGAGCCAGGCGGCCCCAGGCCCTCCAGGCAAGCAGAGCCACAGCTCACAGCCCTGGTGCCCACACGGCCCAGCGCCACGCTCGTGCCTTATCTCCAGCTCCTCAGAGCTGGGCAAGGAGCCAGAGTGAAACTGATAACCAAAGGACACAGGCCAAGCCAAGCCTGAGCCAAGCTCCCCTGCAAGCCAGTCAGGTCAAGACGTCCCTCCTGCAGAGCCACTTCTCCTTCAGATTCCACCTTGTAATGCCTTTCTGTTCCTCAAAGCCAGGCAGCAGCTATCCTACAAGCCCTCCACAAAGCGACAGAAGAGTTTCTATGGAGACCACCAAAGTCACTTTTTAGGTGATTCTGAAGGAATACCCATAACTGTCCTTGGGCCATCACTGAAAAACCCAACCAACGCAGGTTTATTTTCCTCAAAGCCACTCCTTGGCTCAGCCATGCTGGAGGAGGGATCCTGAAGTTTGGAGCGGATTTCACCAGCGGTGCCAACATTGCCAGTGCTCCTCCTGGGGCAGACAAAGCTTTTTTTTGTTACAAAGCAGTTCATTTCTCACAGAATATCCTGAGTTGGAAGGGACCCATAAGGAAGAAGGTCCAACTCCTGGTTCCACCACCACTGCTTTTATGGTAGAAAGATCAGGGAAATTTCACCCAGAGGGTGGTGAGGCACTGGAACAGGTTGCTCAAGAAGGCTGTGGATGCCCCATCCCTGCAGGCATTCAAGGGTGGCTCTGGGCAGCCTGGGCTGCTGGTTGGTGATCCTGCACATAGCAGGGGGTTGGAACTGGATGAGCACTGTGGTCCTTTGCAACCCAGGCCTTTCTATGATTCTTCTTCCCCTTGGAGCCAGCTGGAGATGCTTGCCAAGGAAACCTCCCCACAGAGCAGGCCACTACCGTCACTACCAGGAGCAGCTTCATCATCAAGCTGTCATGGGAACACAGGAAACAACAGTGACACATCCCAAGGAATCACCTGGCCCTGCACAGCGGCAGCCCACAGCCCTGCTTAGGGTGTTAGAAGCGATGTTTACTCCGCAGCAAACAGTGTCGCAATGTTATTTCCTACAATTACAGTTACTCAAGGCCGAACCTACCAGGAAAAATTTTTCGAGAGCTCATCCCTGACAACAAAGCTGCCAGCTCACACACACCCAGGGGTGGTGCTGGGTGGCAGCACCTGAGTTCATGGCTGTGCTTCAGATGCATCACCTTTGCCCTGGAGACAGGAGTCCTTTGCAAGCAGATGCATAACCATCCTGCTTCTTGCTGCTGCTCATCAGACCAGGCCGACACGCACTGGCTTTACACAGAGAAAAGTGTGGGAAGAGTGAAGGAATCCTTAGGGGCTCCCTACTATGAGAACTTCTTAGCAGGGGAACTAACACACTTGGCTCTGGACGGTTCTTAGAGTTGTTCAGTATAAGGATTACAGAGGGCACAGCCAGGGAGGGAGAGGAACCCCAAAAGCTGTGATCCCAGCATCGTGGCATGCAGCCACACAAAACACATTTGTGATCTCCCACTTTGGATGACGGGGATCTCAGGTATAAAGCAGAGAAATACGGATACAGCAGAACCAGATGGGCACACGCTGCAGGAGGCGGCACGCTGGGCAAACCTGGTGCCCCAAACTGACCCGAAACAACAGCTGATGCTGGGAGCATCGTGATTCCTTGCTGCCAAAAAGTTCAGCTTGAATCTCTTTGATGGCAAAGCAGCGGGTTCTGTCCAGGTGGTGGTGAGGGGTCCCTGCAGAGCACCCACGTCCCTCCACCTGCCATACACAGCGTTACACACCCACGTGTGCCTCCAAGCACGCGGTGCAGCAGCGGCCACACACAACCACAGATCAGCCCACTGACACCGCGAGCCACAACACTGCACCAGCCGAGCACAAGATCCCAAGTCTGCTGGAGGAGGAACAGCCGCGGACATCCTTCAACACCTCCTCCGCTCCCCGGCAGCGAGAGGCGTTGTGCTGCCGGAGCCTCGCACAGCCCCGTGTTCTTCGAGTGCGGAGCCCCGACAGAACGCTCGTGGTGCCGAGCACAGCGAGCACGGAGCAGCCTTCCCTCCAGCTGCCCCAGCGTGTGCCTCCCGGCACTCCTTCAGCACAGAACATCGGCGGCTGAGATCACCAGAAAACAATTCGCTCGTTTCCCCCCCAGCACACCTTCCAAATCTGGTGCGGCGCTTCGGACAGACGGAGGGGCGGACAAAAAAAAACTAAAAAACAAAAAACAACAGCCACGGTTTTCACACCCGGATCTTTCAGCGGCTTTATTCGCTACTCGCAAGCCTAACAATTGGCTGCGAAAACGTTTCGTTCGGGACAGAAAGCCGCCAGCATTCAGCACGGCACCCAAACCACAGCTCAGACGCAGCGCTCGGCGCAGAGCTCGTTGCGCTGCCCGGCTTCCCCTCCGCGCCCAAACCCGCAGCCGCCCCAGCTGCCCCCCGCCCCGCTCAGCCCTTCCCTCGTCACCCCGTACACAGCAGATCCCTACCGTGCGGCCGCCTCGCTCCCCGGCTCCCAAAAGATGCCGGCCGTGAGGTTCAGTAACACTTAAAATAGCGCAGGCGGCTCGCACAGCCCATATAGATCGTTCTATTTCAGGGATGCCCAACGTACCGTCAGAGATAGCCTGAGCGCAGCCCGCTTTCCTCGCTCGGGCTTGACATTTACCCCGTGCTTTGACCATTTATGCTGCGGCAGGGTCGAGCCGCAAGCCTGTACGTCCGGCAGCGCGATTTCGGCAGCGCTGGAGGAGGCCGTGCTCGGAGCAGCCCGCTGAGGCACCGCAGCACCCGGCGGAGTTCGCTCCTGCTGCCGGGGCGGACGCGAGGCGCGGCCACGGCGCCGGCCGACCCGGAGCCCACACGGCCGAGGCCGAGCGCCGGAGCCGCCCGCGCACACGGAGCCCCGCGCGAGGCCCGGTGGCCGCCGCACGCTCTCAGCCGCCCCGCGCGAAGGAACGGGGCCCGACGAACGGCCCCCCGCGGCCGCCCCGCCCCGCGCCGCCCGCACCCCCATCCAGTCACTG